GGCACCGAAAATGAAGGTCTCATGTGTCTCAAGGTAAGCTGCATTGGGTATCAATGAATAGTTACGATAAGTGACTGGTGAATGTTGATTGCGATATTTGTCGGTAAAGATATAAGTTTTTTGCTCATTCGATACATCCTGTTTGATCCTCCTTTCGTGATCGCCAAAGTTCAGTTATCTCAGCGATGGCCTTGAGATTTTCGAAAGCTGGTAATGCTTTCGTGTACCTGTTCCATGAACCTAATACTGATTGGTTTTTTCCATCTATTCCCATTTTATCGCACAAAATCGAAGGTTTTGGAAACCATAGTTCATCTCTTGGAATTTGTTTTCCAAAGTAAAAAAATTTCGTTCTGATATTCTGATAGCAAAATATCGGTTCTGTGTTCAAACTAGTAATGGGGTCCGGGCGAAATTTTGATTGGTCGGGATCCGACCGAGTTGTCATTTTGTCATTCCGACAGTCGGATTTCCGACTGAAATTGTTGGATTTTTCCGACCGACTGTCGCTTAGATTCCATCACTAGTACAAAGCAAATATGCGCTGTTTACATATAAGCTTGTTTCAGCGGCTCTACAAACTGGAACACCTACATTTGCATTTGGGCGGTGAGTATAATAACATATCTTATGAAGGGATGATGCAGTTCTTCGCACTTCCTTCCGAGAATGCATCTCAGTATTTTCCATATCGTTTGAAGTATTTATCATTGAGTGAATGCGACACGTTTCGAATAGAATCGGCGAAGGAACTTGTGAAAAGGTAATTCTTAAAAAAATTTCCGCATATTTGCAACTATGAGGTGAAAAAAACTGTGAATTTCTTCTTTCTGCTCAGAAAATAAGCAATAGCCCCCACCTGACGTCTCTCATGGAGGTACGGAAATAGTCTTGACGTTGCTAGTATATTGAGACGCTTTGCTTTTAAGCTGTAGAAAAAGTCTTCGATTTCAGTTCTCATGAAATTCCTTTCAAAAGTATTTCCTTTTAAAGATTCCTCAATCCGAATATAGCAAAATCATCCATTTGTTCAATTGATATCTCAACTTTGGTATGAACTTCAGCCTAAACATGAGCCTGAATTTAATTCATCTCTGAATTACGAACTCTCTGAATTACTGCCTCTTTGCAAATTTCAGTTTTGTTGTGATAGTTGTCAAATGATAACTAGATCACGCAAGCAGAACAACTTGTTTTCAGCTGTCCTCAGCTAATATCGCTCAACATATCTGCAAATGTCAGCGTACATGATGACGCACTCACAGTTCTTGTCAAAAATCTTCCGTAAGCGTATCGATTTCTCAAAAAAAAAATTGCATGATGACAGTAATTCTTAAGTTCTTGCAATTAGCTTTTTCCTGTGTTTATACTTCAACCGAGTATCTTTGTGGATGAAATGGTGTTTTCCATTTTTCGTACTAATTCCAAAAATGTCTGCTCAATGAGCCCCTCAGCAAGTGATCGTACTATCACACATGACCATGCGGATGGCTTGAGAACACTCACTGATCAACATTTTAAGCAATCTCCGTTTTTTGGATTTATCACGATTGGACAGACTGAAGTATCATGCAATACGCCAGCTCTCTGATGATGATTTACCTCAACTCCAATTTCTGAATATGGAAATGACAAGGGTATTAATTCACTTGATCAAAATTTCCAGCCAATTATTTCTTCGCTTTATCAATTTCCGATAGTATTGATCGTGTATTTGACAAACACAGTTTTATGAAAAACTAATGAAAATATTCACGAAAAAAATTACGTAAAGATACTTCTTTCTATCTGTCGCGAACTCCGCGAACTAAAACCCGTTACTATAAAACCCGTAATAAAACTTATTCAAATATAATATATTATTATCTACAAAATATAATTAAATTCAAATTATTATCTGCAAAGTTCAAATCATATTGTTATGTGCTAATTCATCATGGAATTAGTACAATGATCAATTTGGAGGATTAATAGTGTGGTGAATAGCGTTCCAGATGTTTGATCATTGTACTAATTCCTCGATGAATTAGCATACAACAATATAATTTGAACTTTGCAGGTAATAATTTATATTTGATTATATTTTGCAGATAATATTATATTATATTTGAATAGGTTTTAGGATAGGTTTTATAGTAAGGGTTTTAGTTCGCGACACTATTATTCAGTCTGTTGTCTTTTAAGATTAGAGGGAAACACCTACGAGCGATCTGTTTAAAGAGGCCACAGTTGTGGATATCTCATCGCCACGACCATATAATCAATTGGGATCTGAAACCGAATGGAAAACCGTCATTCAATAGAGATTTTGATGGTGACATTAATTTGGTACTGAATGATCTTAATGAAATCGAGGGATTTTGTTGCATGGAGAGCATTACTCAGGGTTATCTCAGCACAGCGTAATCTTCTGACGAACTGAGTGATCTTAGCAATTACGTTGTTGTACATAATGAACGGTGGATAATGTGAAATACATTATGAGCACCTGCATTCCAAAACAAGTTGCAGTCAATTTATTAAGAAGCTTTCCGTTTTATTTCTGATTTTGGCGATTGTTGATCAGTGCTTCATAACATTGTTTTTCATTATGATCGACTTGAATAAAAGTATCTTATTTGACTAGTTGGTCGAATGCTGAATGTTCTCATTGCGATGCAACTCAAATCTGTTTCGTATATAACGAATTCGATGTGACTTTATGATAATGTTTATGGTTGTTTGTTATTTGACTTATGGAATCAATCTGTATGAGATGTTCGACGTTGGATCTGAGAGACCCGGCGCCAAGTTCTCTTTTTTCACAATCTCACGGATATTGTAGCCGTAGACTCGAGAGTTTTTGACTTTGTTTGTTTCCCTAACCTCAGCTAGACAAAAAGAAAAAAAACTTATTCTTGGATCATGCGCGCCACCCAGAGCGCGATCATTTCGCAACATCGGGTATGAATCGGTCTTTTTGGGCTCAGCAACAAATTTGTCATTATTCAAGGCATTTTCAAGCTTTTAATCGACAATGATTATCTCCCTTCAGAAAATTTGATTTGCTTCAACTCTTTTTTCATCAGAACATCGAACTGTATCAGGTGACTATTGTAGCATGAACTATAAAGCATACTTTCATTATGGTCATTCACATGGAACTGCAGAGAGAATTCGAAACAAAAAAGGGATTATGAATATGAAAGAGGAGAAAATTGTAACCATTCGGGATCGAAATTACAGGAAACGGGGACCAGTCGGGCACCTCGTTCCCTGACGAACGCTACCAATCAGAATAAGAGTCCCAGTGAACTTGTCCCAAGACAGTCAGTCGCTTTCTTCCTTTCAGTTGATCTTCAGCTTTTCATAAACTTCGTTCTGAAATTTATTCAAGAATATTTCGCCAGAACATTAATAAAAAGATCAACCTAATGATGTATGTCANCATTGCGAACTACAAAACTTATCCGGCCAATTTATTGCTTCATCACATTGTGCCCTCTCTGAGCACACGATTAATTCATGGGCTGCACAAACCACGTTTCCGCGCTATTTCTGATTTGCAAGCACATGTGATTTAGTAACGTTTGCATCATGCACACTTGAACTAGATCATAATCAGAATCTTCAGTTCCAAATCGTATAGAATTTCATTCAATTCATCGTCATCGTCTGATGGAAAATAATCATCGCCTTCATCAGTACTATCAGCTCCGCTGTTTCCGGATGGAAATTCACTAATTTCATCACTTGACGACACTTGAGCAGATATAACTAACTGCGCAGCGAACGTGAAACAAAAATCACACAACAAGACGCAAAACTCAAGTGGATGTTTTGAGTACACAGTTAAAGAACTTATCCCTAGATGATCAGTTGTTTGGCTATTTTGGATGCATGGTTACCGGTAAATTGGAATGATATTTTCGTTTATTCCCATTCCCATCTTCATAATAGCATTTACAAGCAATAGCACGTGTTCAATTCCATCCAAACATTTCACGTTACAAGTGCACAGTAAAATGAATCGAGCCGGGCCGAGAGACCATTTTTGAGGCCACAAAAATTTCAGTCGTTCGAGGAATAAATACCATTGAGTTTGTTTACAAAAGTAATGATACAAATAAAAAACGATTAATGTAATAATCGCAATAAACAAAATACATAGACAATTTATACTTCACTGTTCGAACGACAACAGATTGACCTTTGAAACTGTCAAATGCATGTCATAACTCCGTACGATATTTCAAGAGGGGACTCTATGAGGAAACAATGATTCAACAACGAATGGATTCCCAACGCTACAGATCGGAAACCTCGGCTGTCGGTTTATCGGCATTTATTTGGATGAATACATCAATGATCGACATGAACATCTCTCCATTATCACAGAAAATGCTATTCACGAATGCCATTGCATAACACAAGATAAAATATACAATAAAATATAAATTGGTTCATAACGATAAAAACCTAACGAAAACACCAACAATAGTAAATGCACATTATAAAACAAGAAACACTGAATTTGAAAACAAAGTTGAAAATAGACTCGAAAGAGAGCCAAATTGAAAATTATCAAAAAGACGACAACCAAAATAAAATGTTTTTGATAATAAATAAGATTTTGATCATATTACGAACGGAATTATACCAATCGTTTCACATATATAAACAGAAGGCAGTTCAATACTACCAAAGAAAACTCCATGCCGAATATTGACGAAATCACATTTATTGACGGATGAATCAAATTTTATGAGGGGACTGAAACTCAATACTGATTTCATAATTTTACGATACTGACAAAACGTTCCATAAAAAATTAACATGAAGTGCTGAAAATAAACAGAATCGAATGACTTATTGCATGGAGATGGAGTATGCTTATGAAAGAAAATGGATCAATTAATCACAATAACCAAAAATGATTCGCCAAAAAATATCAGGAGTATGAAGTAGGAAAGAATATAAATGAATAATAAATTGGAAAGGACATTAAAAATCGATCACGTTCACTGTTCCAAAAAGGATGGCGCCACACCGCTATTAGCATCGTAATCGGCACTGAGTTGTTCCATTGTGGATTGTAACGCTCTTGCATTACCTAACAAAATACAATTCAATTTAGATGCAAAACATCATTTCGAGTTTATCATGAATATCGCCATCTGTGAACATTACACTTATCCACTCTCTCTATCGTCTACTTATGTCGACGATAATTGAAGTGTTAAATATTGACTGAAGTGAGTAGGAAGATAATAAAAAAGAGATTGTTTTAAGAATGAATTCAAATAAAAACCTGAGAAATATGCCATCAAAGCGTTATGCAATAAAACAAGTTGTTTACGCATCACTTTTATACGATTCTCTTCTAGAAGTGTCATTTTTATCTGAAATATTATCAATTTATGAACTGAGCACTTCTTCTTTACGATTATTTGTTAAAACAGCGGCAACAGAAACCATCTGAATAATAGTAATGATAATAAAAACACTAATATTGATAATATCGGCATCACCAACAGATGTAATCATAANAAAAATGGCAAACTTTAACATCCTCTTTGAGTCGTTCATATTTTTCACGCTGCAATTCACATCGCTGAGTTGCATTCGAGATCGCTTCACTATTTAGGTTCGTTTGATGTTTCAGTGTTTCTACTTCATTTCTATGCACATCGTATTCTAAACGCGCCTTTAATTTTTCGTCATTATTTGTAATTATGCAAAATATCTCATTCGTTAAACACAACTAACATTACGGATAACTAATCAAATATACACAACGTAGTGATATAAATAAATCTGTAAATAAATCAACAACTAACTTGATCATGATTATGTATTGTGAGCAGTGTATCTTCAATAGTTTTCTCACATAAAGTTCTCAGTGAAGAAAGAAAAAATGTCAATGCTCGTTCCAGAAGTTCACCGTTATGTGCCATTGATCGCAGTGCTTCGCTATTCGATGTACACTCACTCTTAAGTTTGATTAATCATTAATACTATTCTTATGGGTAGTGCTACAATTTATTTATATATTACTTATTATCGTTAGTAACAAATCACAAACGGATATGTCGGCACATTATTCCAGACATCACAAGAGAGCACAATCATGACAGACAAAAATAACTATAATATTAAAATACCGAGTCAGTGCGCTTGAACGGAACACACTAATAACAATTTATCACTTCAGTTAAACTAAAACCTGAACATGGGGAAAAAATTAATGAAAAAAATTAATGAACCTACTTGAAGGGTACTCTCTTTCAGTGACAACTGATAAATCGATTCGGCGAGACTTTTTTGAGCTTCATTGAATTGATGAAAATTCGTATTGA